TTCGGGGCTTTAGTGTCCCCGCGGCCCGGTCCTCGACCAGGCCTCCACCCCCAGGAAGCAGCCCGTGACAGCTGACTAACTCCTAAGTACCTATTTACTGCTAGGTAACAGGGGCATAGGGTGAAAGAAACTCTGCCCATCGTTTCTCGCTGGCGCCCGGGATCGAACCCGGGACCACAGGATCACAAGTCCAGTGTGCTGTCCGCTCGGCCGACCAGCTCCCCATGAGTGTCATGTCCACTACCAGGTATTTTCCTCTAGACATTATATGGAGTTATAATTTCCCTTAATAGTGTATTGGCCTTTCGATCTCCTGGCTCCTGTCCCCATTTCCATCACCTTGCACTTGTTAGTGTTGAACTCTAGTAGCCATTTCTCGGACCAGCTCTGCAACCTGCTCAAGTCATCCTGGAGAATCTTACCATCCTCGTCTGTCTTCTTGAGGTTATCTTGAGATGATTTCGGGGCTTTAGTGTCCCCGCGGCCCGGTCCTCGACCAGGCCTCCACCCCCAGGAAGCAGCCCGTGACAGCTGACTAACACCCAGGTACCTATTTACTGCTAGGTAACAGGGGCATTCAGGGTGAAAGAAACTTTGCCCATTTGTTTCTGCCTCGTGCGGGAATCGAACCCGCGCCACAGAATTAAGAGTCCTGCGCGCTATCCACCAGGCTACGAGGCCCCCAGCCCTCCTCATTAGTTTCGCATCATTTGCAGATATTGACGTAAAAGACTCGAGTCATTTACATAAATGAAGAATAGTATGGGACTCAGGATTGCTCCTTGAGGCACCCCGCTTGTCCGACTCCTCGCCCCTCACTGTCAATCTCTGACACCTGTCTGTCAGGTAATTCCTTACCTATGATAGTGCGTTTCCGTCTACTACTTCCGCCTGCCTCTCAAGTTTGTATAATAGCTTTCTGTGTGGTAATGTATCAAAGGCTTTTTGGTAGTCCATAAATATACAATCTGCCCATCCTTCTCTGTCGTGCCTTATTTTCGTTACCTTATCATAAAAGTCCAGGAGTTTTGTCAGGCATGATTTCCCTGCTCTAAACCCATGTTGTTGTTTACTTACAAACCTAATTGTTTCTAGGTGTGCAAACAGTCTTAACCGTGTGTGTGTGTGTGTGTGTGTGTGTGTGTGTGTGTGTGTGTGTGTGTGTGTGTGTGTGTGTGTGTGTGTGTGTGTGTGTGTGTGTGTTATGTTTGTGTGTTTGTTTTGGAGTTGCAGGTGGATGAGAGCACGTGGTTGCAAGGTCGTGACTCGACAGCGTGGCGCCTGTCTGCAACATCCAACGCATGCGCTCTGACTGTCACACATGTTGCAAGGGGGTCACTGCCCCCCTCCCTCCCTCCCTCCCTAGGGGGGGTCACTGCCCCCTCCCTCCTCCCTCCTCCTCCTAGTTAGCCTACCTCCATAGCAAAGTTGTTTCCTGCGTAAATCTTTGATTATTAATTATTTATGCTGGTATAAATTCGAGTACGAATTTCGCTGGCAGTGAATAACGAAAAATAATTCGTCGTCATTGACGTTTAATAATAATTGTAATAATTCGACGTTTATGCATTAAAGATAAAAAAAAATAGAATGCATGACTACAGTACTTAAGTTAAACGTGTTTTTCATCATCTTACAAACTAATTAAGGGGAATTATAGAAATCACGGAAATATTTCAGAACTGACCACAGAAATGGCCACAGAACTGACCACAACAATGGCCACAGAAATGGCCACAGAACTGACCACAACAATGGCCACAGAACTGACCACAACAATGGCCACAGAAATGACCACAGAACTGACCACAACAATGGCCACAGAACTGACCACAACAATGGCCACAGAACTGACCACAACAATGGCCACAGAACTGACCACAACAATGGCCACAGAACTGACCACAACAATGGCCACAGAACTGACCACAACAATGGCCACAGAACTGACCACAACAATGGCCACAGAAATGACCACAACAATGGCCACAGAACTGACCACAACAATGGCCACAGAAATGAGCACAGAAATATTATAGCCTAAAGGGTGTAAGGCGACAAGTGACACCCCAAGAGTTTGTTTGTTTTCCAAGCATGCTTTTAATAGCAAAGTTACCACTTATTTCATATTTGTATTCCATTACCAGCATCATAGCACGAGGGCATAATAACCATTTAACACCCGAGTCATTCTCGAATCTGGGTTTTCGATTCGATACTTGAGCATCGAAATACATTTATTCGCTAATAACGGGTTTTTACCAATGAAAACGTAGTTACTGGGTACAGCCAAGAGGTGACACCTAAATTATACAGATTTGACGGTGACAGCGAACTTCATATGAATATTGTGTGGACATCGAATGCCAAGCGTGCATGGGGGGTGACAACGAAGGCCACTTGCACAATGGTAGGCTACGAAAGGAAGGTGAACAAGGCATGAAATGACATGTAAACATTGATTGACACCAAAGTACATGTGGACATAGATTGACACCAAAGTACATGTGGTCATAGATTGACACCAAAGCACATGTGGACACAGATTGACACCAAAGCACATGTGGACACAGATTGACACCAAAGTACATGTGGTCATAGATTGACACCAAAGCACATGTGGACACAGATTGACACCAAAGCACATGTGGACACAGTTTGACACCAAAGCACATGTGGACACAGATTGACACCAAAGCACATGTGGACACAGATTGACACCAAAGCACATGTGGACACAGATTGACACCAAAGCACATGTGGACATAGATTGACACCAAAGCACATGTGGACACAGTTTGACACCAAAGCACATGTGGACACAGTTTGACACCAAAGCACATGTGGACACAGTTTGACACCAAAGCACATGTGGACACAGATTGACACCAAAGCACATGTGGACACAGATTGACACCAAAGCACATGTGGACACAGATTGACACCAAAGCACATGTGGACACAGATTGACACCAAAGCACATGTGGACACAGATTGACACCAAAGCACATGTGGACACAGATTGACACCAAAGCACATGTGGACACAGATTGACACCAAAGCACATGTGGACACAGATTGACACCAAAGCACATGTGGACACAGATTGACACCAAAGCACATGTGGACACAGATTGACACCAAAGTACATGTGGTCATAGATTGACACCAAAGTACATGTGGTCATAGATTGACACCAAAGCACATGTGGACACAGTTTGACACCAAAGCACATGTGGACACAGATTGACACCAAAGCACATGTGGACACAGTTTGACACCAAAGCACATGTGGACATGATTGACACCAAAGGAACTGGTGACATGAGGCAATATCAAAGAACATAGGGTGATATCAAGACAGGTAAATATAAGCAATATCATTAGACTAATGTCTACTGGAGCAATATCAGTGCCATTGTGTGTAAGAGCAACATCGCATGGAAATGAAGCTCACATACTCATTCATGAAGGTATTTTTTAATCTTTATTAAATAATATACAGCAGCCTTAAAATGACGCTATATTAATAATTTGCTTAGAAACACTATACTTTAATACCAAGCCAAGTTTAATTATATGTCTGTTAATAGGCCAAGTTGGCTAACAAGCCGAATTTTCCTGAAATATTTTTTATTTTTTTCTTGTGGAATGATAACGTTTTCCATTACATTATAATATTGTTCTAAATTTTAATTTTAATTTTGTGTATTTATATATACTGTATACACACACACACACACATATATATATATATATATATATATATATATATATATATATATATATATATATATATATATATATATATATATATATATATATATATATATATATATACATATATATTTATATATATATATATATATTAAACTTGGCCTGGTATACTAATATATATATATATATATATATATATATATATATATATATATATATATATATATATATTATATACTATATAATAGTACTAATATATATATTATATATACATTAGTACCTAATAAGTAAAACTATCAAGCCGAATTTTTTTAAATTACAGTATAAAAATGAAAAAATTTTGATCTTATGGAATGAAATTTTTAAAATTTCATACATTCTCATGTATGAAATCAAATCATACATTATATATTATTATTTTTTTATTTTAGTTTAAACATAGAAATTTAATCAAACCTAACTTAACCCACCTAAGTAATTCATATTCTTAATATAATATTAATTGGAATAATCCAATCTGATCAGAAATATTTGCAAATATAGAAAAATTCTGCCTGTTAGCCAAATTGGGCATTGCATACTAGGCCAAGTAATGCGGTTCTGGTTATTAGGTATATATATATATATATATATATATATATATATATATATATATATATATATATATATATATATATATATATATATATATATATATATATATATAAGGATTCTATATCAAAATCTAGCAGAGGACGTTAGCTAGCATGTTAAGACCCAAGTTCAACAATTACACCTGTCCAGGCAGGTAAGGAGCCACATATGACCTGATATACCCATCATACGTGTATGCGCGTATGTGTGAATATACCTGGTGATCAATACGTCTAAGTTACGATTGTTTATGTACACCGTGCCCTAGCAACGCCAGTCACAGCTTGACCACAACAACACACACACATACATACACACACACTCGAGGAATAAACATGACTGAAACCTCATATATAAGTGATATTTTCGTCGTATAGGTGGCCTATATGAGAGAGAGAGGGAGGGAGAGAGAGGGACGTGGTCTCCAGGGCTGTGCCAGTGTGGGGGACACGATCTATAAATACTCTATTAGGAATTCTCGTTCACACCAGCAACACTTGGGAGAGGGTTTTGGGAGCTGTGTTTATATGAAGAATATGGGTGCAAGGTAGCCGCGACTAAGAGCGCTGGTTAAGTGAAGGAGAAGGCGCCGCAGAAGGACGGGGGGAAGGCAGAAGGTGCAGGTGTCGTAGTCCAGTAGCAGAACTCACCTGAGTTGTACAGATCCAGACACAGGACGATCTCCAACAAACGTTCACGCGAAATCACTCTACTACGCTCGCACTCGGCTGCCCTTCCCCGAGTCCCCTTCACACTTTTCCACGCTTTTCCCCGGCTTCTCGGCGGACTAAATATTCACACTTGTACCCGTATGGATTCATGAACACAACAGTATGGCAGTGAGAGGTCAGACGGTGAAATTTGGTCAAGCTACGGCATAACTACTCCGCGGAATTTGGTCTACGCCAAGTGAATCGTCCGAATCGATTCGCTGGCAGCGCCGAGACCTCACGTATGAGGGGGGCTCGCGAGCCGCCCGCGCGCGCCCCGCCGCAGACCACGGCTATACGAAGCTATATCTAGCGTTCGCGCACAGAACGTTTATCCAGGGTTCTGGTTCGTACAGTACTCAAGGCACATTTCTGGCGAGATGTCATTACATTTTAGCCTGTTAGCTACGCAAGTAGCTGGTGATGAGACTCTAGAGGGGAGGGAGTGTGTGGGAGAGGGGGAGTTATATTGAATTTTTGCGTGAAAAGCGTAAATGTGAAAAATTGTGAGACGCTTCGTTCACTTTTGGGTGACGTGAGGTGACGTCATGCTGTCGGCCAATCAGACTCCGCCGCTCAGCTGATACTTTAGTACCGAGGCAGCACCTATTCTCACCCATACCAGCATTTTATACCTATCATATGTTTTACCCGATATATTGTGTTGCAAATTACAATTTAACTTAATTATTTACACCAAAATACTACTCAAAATAGTACCTAAAATGCAATGTAAACAAATGGAAACGGAAATCTTAACATCTCTGCTCCAAGATTGCAGAGCCCCAGGTAGATGGGCCGACGCCGCCGACTGCACATAGAAAGCGACATAGCACCCTCCGGTACAAGCTCAGCTGACCCTAGACACCCTCATTGTTATTGTTTTCTACACGCCTACTCACCTCTACAGCTACCTACAAGCTAATATATCTATAACTAATTATGTATCGAAATAGGTCACTTCTAATGACACATCCATTTTTGTTATCACTTTGGGACCTTGGGAGAGATGATGTGGCTATCAATATATATACAGGGAGTACATATTATTCTCACACACCAGGCAGGGAAGGTTGATAGTTGTGGTAATTGTGGTAGGAACGGCAACGAGGTTACTAGACATTCTGGTTGTCGTACTCTTATTAGGCTACTAATTATTATTTTTTTTTATCGTGGTTAAGAGTAGCCACCTACTCGCCGTGCCGCCGCACCCACCATCAACTGACAACCACCACTACCAGTTCATCACCACCCACCACCCCCATCTGACCACCCACCACCACAATCTGACCACCCACCACCACAATCTGACCACCCACCACCACAATCTGACCACCCACCACCACAATCTGACCACCCACCACCACAATCTGAGCACCCACCACCACAATCTGACCACCCACCACCACAATCTGACCACCCACCACCACAATCTGAGCACCCACCACCACAATCTGACCACCCACCACCACAATCTGAGCACCCACCACCACAATCTGACCACCCACCACCACAATCTGACACCCACCACCACAATCTGACCACCCACCACCACAATCTGACCACCCACCACCACAATCTGAGCACCCACCACCACAATCTGACCACCCACCACCACAATCTGAGCACCCACCACCACTACTTCCACGATCACTTTCCCCCCCTTCACCGCTACCATCACCATCATCACTTCCGCTGCTACTACCAACCACCACCACCACACCGCCACCCCCCCCCCCCAAGCACCACGATCGCCGCCAGCAATGGCGATAATGTTTAACGTGGGAGTTGCAACAACAGCAGCAGTTGATGCAACAGAAGTATGATTAACAGAAACATCAAAGAGGTAATAAAAATAAAATAACGGTAAAATATATTAACAAACCCAGCTGGTAAGAGTAACAAATGCAACAGGAGACCCCCAGAAATGGAACAGCAATAGGTTTCAACTTGAACACTAATCGGGACATCAACGGAAGCCTACACAACGGTAGGCTCAACGGGAAACCTGATCGCCAATCAACAGTAGCCTCGACGAGTACAGTGACCGCAACAGGAACAGGTGATCTCCAAGAACAAGGAGGACGCTGAAGGCAGCACAGCGACAAAGAATAACCTGGAAGGAAGGCCAGAGCGACCCGGGGGTGAAGCAGCCAGCGTGAAGGACACCTCTCAATATACTGGAGGCCACCCCCACCATCAACACTACGTCAATACCCCAGTGACAGACGTACAAGCGTAGCACGTCTGTCACTGACGTGCCAGACGTGCACCCAGCGTAGTGCTTAGCTCAAACGCTACGTCCATACAACACCAGCGATAGAAACACCACCCCATCACAAACGCTACGTCGACACAACACCAGCGATAGAAACACCACCCCATCACAAACGCTACGTCGACACAACACCAGCGATAGAAACACCACCCCATCACAAACGCTACGTCGACACAACACCAGCGATAGAAACACCACCCCATCACAAACGCTACGTCGACCAGCCATAGAAATGTACACCCAGTACAAAGTTCCCATGATTACCACCAGGGAAGAGACTACCGAGGGAAGAGTACTTATTAGCAGTCTACGGGTTTGTCCTGGACACGTTGGAGGCACAAGTACCGGGTGAACTTGGAGGTGTTGGGAGGTGGGGGGGACAGAGAATAGGGGGGGGATATGGTAGGGAGGAGGAGCAGGTCGACCAGGCTCCCTGAAGCCTCGTCTTATCCAAAACAGAGAGAACGCGCGCTGTTGCCAACTGAACGTTACTCGTCCAAGTTGATAACTGCGAAAACTTACACTTCCACTACGACCTACAACATTACTACTGCTAACACTAGAGTGATAATATAAATTATGCAAATAACACTATTGATAATAAATATTATTCACATTTTTCCACCTCCTTACTAGCCTCTATAATGCCTTTACCATACTCATGACAAAATTAATCAATTATAGGCAATGAAAGAGTATGTTGGGTCTCCATTTCTTGACGCACAATGGGTCACATTTGTGTACGATAGCTCCCCTGGGGGGGTCACATTTGTGTACGATAGCTCCCCTGGGGGGTCACATTTGTGTACGATAGCTCCCCTGGGGGGTCACATTTGTGTACGATAGCTCCCCTGGGCGTCACATTTGTGTACGATAGCTCCCCTGGGCGTCACATTTGTGTACGATAGCTCCCCTGGGGGGTCACATTTGTGTACGATAGCTCCCCTGGGGGGTCACATTTGTGTACGATAGCTCCCCTGGGGGGTCACATTTGTGTACGATAGCTCCCCTGGGGGGTCACATTTGTGTACGATAGCTCCCCTGGGGGTCACATTTGTGTACGATAGCTCCCCTGGGGGTCACATTTGTGTACGATAGCTCCCCTGGGGGTCACATTTGTGTACGATAGCTCCCCTGGGGGGTCACATTTGTGTACGATAGCTCCCCTGGGCGTCACATTTGTGTACGATAGCTCCATTACATGTTACGTCTGTATACAGCAGTTTCACTGTGTATCGTAACGGTATACAATAGCTCTCATGTCTGTGTACAGTTGTATTGCGTCTGTATTCGGTAACGCGCCTGTATGTCGTGTCTGTATACGCTAGCTTACCCTGTATTTCTCGTTTGTATATGGTGGCTCCCGTGGGTCAAGTGTGTATACACAACCTCCTGTATGTTGTGTGTGTGTATATACACAACCTCCTGTAGAGTGTGTGTTTTGTGTGTGTGTGTGTGTGTGTGTGTGTGTGTGTGTGTATACACAACCTCCTGTATGTTGTGTGTGTGTATACACAACCTCCTGTAGAGTGTGTTTTGTGTGTGTGTGTGTGTGTGTGTGTACTCACCTAGTTGTACTCACCTAGTTGTGTTTGCGGGGGTTGAGCTCTGGCTCTTTGGTCCCGCCTCTCAACCGTCAATCAACAGGTGTACAGATTCCTGAGTGTGTGTGTGTGTGTGTGTGTGTGTGTGTGTGTGTGTGTGTGTGTGTGTGTGTGTGTGTGTGTGTGTGTGTGTGTGTGCGCAGCCTCCAGTACGATAGCTTTTTCTCACATATTTACAAGCACAATTATCCTGATTAACGTTTTAAAACCTAATAATGACATCTATAAATGCATTTATTTATTTTCTGAATCATATTCCATTTACAGACATTTCCAATAATAAATTAATTACCTCAGTAGATGCCTATGTTCTAAACATTTCTAAACCTATTTTAACACCATCCGCAAAGCTTTCTAATCCTGATATCAATGCTATCCCAGGACATTTCTAATCCTGATATCAATGCTATCCCAGGACATTTCTAATCCTGATATCAATGCTATCCCAGGACATTTCTAATCCTGATATCAATGCTATCCCAGGACATTTCTAATCCTGATATCAATGCTATCCCAGGACATTTCTAATCCTGATATCAATGCTATCCCAGGACATTTCTAATCCTGATATCAATGCTATCCCAGGACATTTCTAATCCTGATATCAATGCTATCCCAGGACATTTCTAATCCTGATATCAATGCTATCCCAGGACATTTCTAATCCTGATATCAATGCTATCCCAGGACATTTCTAATCCTGATATCAATGCTATCCCAGGACATTTCTAATCCTGATATCAATGCTATCCCAGGACATTTCTAATCCTGATATCAATGCTATCCCAGGACATTTCTAATCCTGATATCAATGCTATCCCAGGACATTTCTAATCCTGATATCAATGCTAATCTTCCCAAGATCTTTCTAATCACATTCTTGGACGCTTCTAATGATATATCAAAAACTTTTTCAAGATTTTGTTGTTACATTCGGTAAAAACATTTAACATAACAGCAATTAAAGTTATTAATGAAACGAACACCATTGGAGTATCTTTTTTTCTTAAGACAGTCCTTAATACATTCACTCACGTTTTCTGAGACAACTTGGGTACATACGCTTGCGTTTTCTAAAAGAAATCTGTTATATACGCCAATTTTTAATAAAAAAAAATGTACGTACGCTAATGTTATCAAAAAGATCTATACTACATAAGTTTATTGTTTTGTTTTAAGAACTGGAGCGAATAATTTAACATGCTTGGTAAGGGGTCTCAATTGCAAGCAATTAACAACGGGTGATTAACGGTTAGGAAGTAACGGAGGATAAATTATTGTCAAGTTGCAAAATAACAACGTATAAGGCTCCACAGTAAGCATGATGTCTAATGACAAGTGTATGATACAGGTTAATGGCGACTAATACAAGGGTTA